TTTTAGGGGGGGGGGGGGGGGCTTTGCTCACGTGCCTAGGTTGCCGCTCATGTCCTCCAGTGCTCGCAGTGGGCGGGTTCTGGGTTTTTTGGCGGCGGGGGGGGGGCCTTTGCCGACGTGGTGGGGGGGGGGGGGGGGGGGTTCCGTGAGATGCAAGGGGGGGTTGTTGCGCTGAAAAGGGACAGGCTTCTTTCCCTAGTTTTCTTCACGATTTCAGTCACACAGTCTGCTTCGTCACCTACTGTACAGCCGTAGTCCCGAGCCATCGTGCCGAGCCGCAATATAAAACGACAACACCGTGTCTCTTTGGGTGAGTAAGCCTGTAACCACGGGACCGACCGCGTCAAGTGTTAGCTAGTACGGACAGATGAAGGTACTGGGTAGAGAGATTGGAACGGTTTTTAATGTGCAACAACAACAACAACAACAACAACAGTGCATTCATTCATTCTATCCTCTGATGATACGCTGGGCGCGATGTACAGGTATCGAACTTTGTCGAGTTCCTGGGACGGATCCACAACTGCCCCCAACACCGCTGACAACGAAACAAAATGTCACCTTGTGGCCCAAAAAAGAAGGGTGGGCAAAACAATACCTGGCTCCCACCGACGCCTGTGTACAATAACTCTCCTTACCTGGCTCCACCGCACGGAACGCGCAAGACGCGCGTCCGCGGAGACGCCTCCGTCCACCTCCGCCAGGCGCTCGAGGGAGCAAAGAACCACGTCCGCCGAGGAACGCCTTGCCGTAGGCGGCAACCGTGCCTTACCGCTAACGCTACCGCCGGCGGCGGTGGCCTGCGGCGACAGCTTCTGCTGCAAGGAGGACGGCGGCGACGAGGATGCTGCTGCTGTCGCCGCTGCTGTGGCTGACCGATGATGGTGTTCCTGGCTCCTCCATTCCTCCCACACCTGCGGGGAGGGGGGGGGGGGACAGGGAGTGGGTGGCGCACTCATGTTTTGCATGCCTCAGCTGTTAGACCACCTGTCCTCGAGAGGACGGGGCGTTGTTCCCACAGTACCATTCACACCCCATGGCCAATCGTTCCTCCCTACTTCGCCAAAGGTGGCTCATAAATGTTCTCCCTATCCTGTCTTAAATATGGGGGGTGGAGTCTGCAAAACCTACCTACTCGATTCTGAAAATGCGGCCCCAAGGGGTCCTGATATGTCCTTCCCAAAACAAAGAAAATACAACAAAAATAAAACGAAATTGAATCCGCACCCCTCTTCAATTTTTAATGTTAATGTTTACGTAAAAAACTGTAAACCGTACAATAAGGCAAAACAACTCCAACGAAAACAAGCGAAGCATTGAGGCAGCTATCCTTCCGGCAACCAAAAATGGAAAGAATATCCCTCTTAAATACTCATCAATACCTGTATACACCATCCGATATGGCCGAACCGGCAGGCAACAACAGCAACAACCACGAGTGAAGGCAGCAAGCCGCTCACCTTGATGACCAGGCGCGGACAAGCCTGCGCCAGCTCCATGTGCCACCTCGCCATCGCCCACGAGGGCACCACGACCAGCTGCGGGGGCGGCGCGAGGCTTCCCGGCCGGGGACGCATCGCAAGCGTCCCCTGTCTCGGCGGCGACGCCTTCGAGGAAGTTCCGCCGCCGTTGGCAGCCGCACCCTGCGATTTCGAACCGGCACCCCCGGCAGAGGATCCTCCCGACGCAGCCCCGGATTCCTGAAAAGGAGTTTTTTGGACGGGGGGGGGAGTGTCCCCGGAAGGGGGTATTGTATGGAGGGCAAAGCGTGTGAGCCAGGAAAGAACGGCGGGTGCGGAAGGAGAAGAGGGTTCTAAAACCGTCAGACAGCTCAATCTCTTACCACCAGTCTTCATTCAACCCTCCCCAACACAACACAAATGATACAACAGCAGCAAGAATAGCAGCAGCAGAGATAAAAACATAAACAACAACGACAACAACACCAAACATCATCAACAACGACAACACCATCGCCACCAACAGCTGCGGAAAAAACAACCGCAAGGCACCAATCAACCACACCTCAGCCTCCCCTTTGACCAAGCGCTCGGATAGGCGCTTCTTCTCCTGAGCCAGGAAGATGTCGGTGCGCTCAGTCTCCACGACCGACCGGCAAGCCGCCACCATCGCAACAGTCGCCGCCGCAGTCACCGTCTATCACGCGCATCAAAACAATAATGTAATCTTTTTTTTTTTTTTTGGGGGGGGGGACATACACTAAAATACCCTAATAAGGAGTGGTAGTATTTTTATATTCTTGGTTTTGGAGCATGATGTGTAGTAAGACAACACCAAATTTCAACCCAAGGGGGGGAAGCGCGGGTACGGTTGTTTCAACGTCAGAGCCGCGCCATCGCAACAGTCGCCGCCGCAGTCACCGTCTGTCACGTTCCAGTAACTCTCAGGTAGAGGACGCAAATGTGTGAGACTGCTAACATGAACAAAATGAAAAATATGAATTTGAGACCAGTCAGTACGAAACCCGGAAGAAGACACAAGCCTACCGCGGACTCTTTTTGTGTTGTTATCTGTCAGAGAGATTATGAATTCCGTGTGTTTCTGCAAGAAAACACATGAACAAATTGAAGCTTGAATTTTAATCCATTCAGCCTTCGACGGACTCTTCTTGTCTCTTTTATCGTTCAGAGAGATGATGCGCTCGGAGTACATTTGTAAGAAAAACAAAAGGAACCAAGAAAAAATTAAACCTGTACACCCAGCAAGTAGATTTGTAAGAAAAACAAAAGGAAACAAGAAAAAATTAAACCTGTACACCCAGCAAGGAGTACCTTCCCGGTGCCGCGGTCGTCACACAAAACTCCCCCCAGACCACGCCCAGCCAGAGCCCTGATCCAGGAGAGAGCCTTCGCCTGGTGGGGTAGCAGGTGAACGGCCATTCCCCAAGAGTCTGGTGCTCTGCTAAGGTTGCGGGAGGAGAACTCCTCGTACCCAGCCACCCCTGCGTGGGTCACATCACCGAGAGAACCAACAAATCCAGGGGGTGATGAAGAAAGTCTCTGGGATTGAGGCATATACCGTATATGACACAAGATAACACACCCCCTTGGCCGATTTTCAAAGCTCGATTTCTCAACAGCAGGAAGAGTCACGGCGCCGAAAACGGCAGCGTTGGAATCGTCTCGTCGAGAAATTTTCGAAAATGTATCGTTTTGTTTGTGCATCCTCTTCGTCGTGGAGTAATCGAGCTTTGGAAATCGGTCCAGGGGGTGTGCTATCTTGTGTCATATACGGTACATATCGCGAAGAGGGAGTGGAGGATTCCAGAATATCTGTCGTTGATTTCTATTGACTTGCGGACCCCTCGGGGCCAGTTTATTTGAGTGTACCTTTTTAGGGTAAGTTAACCTGTGACCACGGGAATCGACCGCGTCGAGTGTTGGATCAGTACGGACATACGAAGGTACTGGGTAGAGAGAGATCGGAACTGTTTTTAATGTGAAGACAACAACAACAACAACAACAACAACAACAACAACAATTGGTAGCGACGAACAGTCCAGGAGGTTGTGAAAGTCGCTGGGATCGAGATACATACGCATACCACATATCACATTGGTAGCGAAAAAAAAAAAAGGGGAAAATATATAATTTACATAAATCTGAACGCAATTTTGCTGAAAGTGGAGATGGGTCGGTCGAATTCGGATGAAGCACGAAGAAAAAACAGGATTGCACGTCAAAAATTCAAGCAGCACGGTGCGAATCGGCACTATCACACTTCCCAAACCCAGAGGATAAAGATATATTAAACGGGTGTTCCGTGTGAAGTATTTTTTTTTCCTAATAAAATCAGTGGTTCTCTTTTCTGTGTGTATTTTTTTTTCCTAATTAAATCAGTGGTGTGGTTTTCTCTGTGTGTATATTGTCCAAATAAAATCAGTGGTGTGCTTTAACCAGGAATATTGATGTAACTCATCGACGCCCTCACCATTGCTGCCAGGTCCGTCCGAGGCAACCATGCCTTCAATCTTCACAGGGGACGCCTTGCCCGCGTCTCCTGCTAGCGACGCCTCCACCAGCGCTTTCGCCCTCGTCGTTAACTGCTCCACCTGATTGGGCGTCGCGCGTGGCATGCCTTAGTTAGGCCATTGACCACGGAATTACTACATACCTTTATCATGGGTCTGTCTGTCTATTCTTCCTGTCTTGTGGGTTCTCTATGTCTGACCGTCTTACTGCAGTCCATCTCTCTTGCCAAAAATCTGGCGGTCCTCCAACCTGTCTGTCCGTCTGTCAGCCAGCCTACTTTCTGTCATCTGTCATCTGTCCGTCCCCCTCCTGTCTCTCTGTCTGTCCTCTGGTTGTCTGAAAGCCTTTACCGTCTTGTCGGCCTTACCGCTGTCTCTCCCCCCCAACTGACCTCAAACCCGATCCGGCTCAGCTCCGGCATCGTCAACTCCACCTCCTCCCCGCCACCCACCGCCTCCGTCTCACCACCAACACCACCAGAAGACCAAGAAGCCAACAGCGGGCCCTTCCCGCCCCCCCCGCCCCCCGGCCCGTTCTGAGTGGGTTTCTCCGCCGCAGCGGCGGCGGTGGTAGGGCGGGGAGGGGAGGAGGCGAGGAGGGAGAGGTGCCTGCAGATCGCCACACCGGCGTCGGCGACACGTCCGTCTCGAGCTTGCGGCCGTCCCTGGTGCGGGCGAAAAAGAAAGAAAGAAAAAAAGAGGCGGCGGAATTAGATGACGAGGGTGACGTCAGTGGTGCGTGCTTTTGGTGCACAACACAAAAAACTATTTTTTATGATAGAGATGGATTCGTTGTGTCATCTTAAAAAAAAAAAAAGGGAGGGGACACAAGAAGCGGATACAATGAAAGTCCATGCGGCGGAATAAAGAGCAAGAGAGAGGAGAGTGACGCAAGCGACCAAAAGCGACCGAACAATCTAAGAGGAGGGTGGCGCGACACGCCCGTGTCCACATAAGAGAGTAAATTCAACTCTATTACGAAAAGAGACCGGAGAGGGGGCACGCAGACCCCCAACCCCAATCCCAACTTTAGCCGATTCTATACTTAATAACCTGCGAAGACTACATTTTTCCGTGCTTCCTCCAGCTATGTGGTGTAAGTCTACATGTTTCACCTCGCAGAGCTCTCTCCGAGCAAGCCGCGTCCGATTCGCCACCCCCCTCAAGAGGTGCCTCGCCAGCTTCCGCTCTTCGTTATAGTCGGTTGCGATGAGACGCATCTCGTCAAGGAGGAAATCCCACAGGGTCTTGCGTCTCCGGGGCGGCTGTCAGAAACAAACAAAGGTTCAAAAAAAAAACGCGGGAAAAAAAATTGTTGAATTAATTATGAGCAAGAGAGATACCATGAAAAAATGAAAACTAAAAAACGAAAAAAAAAAAAGTATTAACAAAGGGGAGACAAAAAAAAAAAGACGAAAAGGCAAAAAATAAAATAAAAAATAAAAATAAAAAACAAATGTTGACGTTAACGGAGCAAGAGAGGAGAGGGAGAGAGACCAAGACTGCCAGACAGGCACAAAAGGGAGCGGGGGTAAGTTCACGGTATGCCTGTCATACACGCCCGTTCAATGGTGTACCTTCACAGGCGGCAGTATCCGGGGCTTGCGCTCCAACACCAGCCTGAGCCTCGCCCGAACATCCTTGAACGCCTTCGTCTTCTCCTCCAGCATCTGCGACAGCTGGAACCGTGTCAGGCCGCGCTGGTTCTGCGGTTCCGCCGCCTTGACCAGGCGGTGGCGGCGCATCGCGGCCACCTCCCCGGGGAGGATAGGTAGTCCTCCCTCCCCCCGAGAGGCCTGAAGGCGACATGGAACAAAAAAAATCGGGACAGTAGTAAATGCGTCAGGAGACGATATCAGGTGGAAAATTTGGCTGAGGCTGCAAATGTGTTCCACGATAACAGCTGTCGTAAAGGTTAGCTCGATGAGAACAGAAATCTCATGTGTGTAGACAAGAGGCAACTTGAGAGTGACATGGAGGAGCAAACCAATCGCCAATTTCGATCCTGTGTGGGTTGATCAGTGAACAACTCGAGCCAATGCGACCACCAAAAAGTCATCCAAGACGACGACCACGCATCAGTCTGTGGCGTGGCATACTGCTACATAGAGGCGTACAAACCGGCTGCCCATCGCTCATACACAAAAAACGGCGACGGTCAAAACCATTCACATCTGCAAGGGGCCCCTCGGCAGTGGGCTGGTGAAACCACAGACATGGAGGGGGCTCACGAGAGCACAGCAGTGCCACGCCAGGGGTCATGAAAGATGTCAAAATTGTGAGGTTTCCCAAGCTCCACAGTTCAAACGGCGGACGTGTTTCGACTCCCAAGAGCCCAGAGGACCTCGACAAACCAAACAGAACAAACAAAACACTTGGCATCTGTATACAGCAGTTTTATCGCGAAATTTGTGCTTCTAACTCTAAGCTGCCACCACCACTGTGTATACGAAGGTACTATGAAGGAGAATACCTACAGGCAGTATGTACTGCTGTTGTTGTCATGCTCCAACACCCAACCAACACCTACACATCAAACAACTCAGTAGGTCTGTACTGTTTCTTTCATACATCCTCCGCGTGCTACGTTTGACAGCAGTACGCACATACAAACGGCTGACGTTGAGCATCCTCAACACCCACCTCGTTATCCCGGACCCGTCTGACGGCGTGGTAGTGCTCGTACCACTGATCACCGCCCGCCGCTCCGACCGCCCCCCCACCTCCCGCATTCGACGACGAAGAAGGGTTTGCAGCAGCAGTAGGCGTCGCCGCTGACGGGAGAGCCGCCGCGTTACTAACCGCCCCCTGGGCGGCCCCGCCGCCGCCGCCGGCCGCCCCGCCTCCCAGAGCCCCGGCGGCTGCGCCGCCGCCCCCCTCCACTCCGCCGTTCCGGGTGACGCCGCCCTCGGCCTCCGCCTTGGCCTCAAAAGCGGTCCCCGTCGCCGCTTTATCCCCGTCTTCCCCGAGCCCCACCGGACGGAATCGCCTCTTCCTGGGCAGCGGGTACCCGAGGTCTCGTTGGGATGAGGCCACCGCTTCGGCGACGGCGGAGGCGGCGGCTCCGCGGCGGGAGCAGGACGGCGGCGGCGGCGGCGGCGGCGGGCGGGGGTCCGCGCAGACCCGTGCCCCGAGCCATAGGCCCGCGCAGCCGAGAACCGGCGCGTGAGGGAGAGGGGGGGAGGCGTCCGCCTGCCGGTGGTTGTTTTTTTGGTCCGTGGTTTGGGTCGGAGATCGTATGCATAGGAACAACGAAGGCGATGGACGGTAACGATGAAAAGGCAGAGAAAGTGTTTTAGTCCGTACTTTTAGTCGGTAATCGGAACAACGGCAGGAACGACAACGAGGAACTCGTGCTTTCGTCCGTGTTTTGAGCCGGCAACCGAAGCAACGGCAGGAACCGCAATGTGGAAGAGAAAGTGTTTTAGACCGTGTTTTGAGTCGGGAATCGTAACAACAACGACACGTGTCGACGACACGTACACAAAACTGTTTTAAATCTCCAAAAAAAGAAACTAGCATAGACAGATTTGAAGTAAAGACAAAAAAAAAAATAGACACAAACGAAGTCCCGTAGAGATCCGGGAAGGAGGGAGGAAACACGGGCTACTACTGCCACGCGTATTTCCACAATCAAGGGTACTCACGGAACGGGATTCCAGATGTATTGCTACCCGCCACCCACCCACCCACCCACCCGACTCCCCCCCAGATTGTTCGAGTTCGATTAGGTTCTGCTTCGTTTGTTGCCACTTGGCTGTCGGTACTGAGCTTGCTACCCAGCGGTGTAAAACCCGGCGTCGCCGCACATGCACGTGTGGCGCATTCTCCTGTAGGAAGGGAAGGGCACACGCGGCGACACGCACCTCCGCTGCCGCTGCCGCTCCCCCCGCTGCGGCGGCGGGCGTTGGCGGCTTTCCGGTCGCGGGCTTGGCTTTGGCCGCTGCCACTGCCGCCGCCGCCGCCGCCGCCGCCGCCGCCGCCGCAGCAGCAGCAGCAGCAGCAGCAGCAGCCGCCGCCGCAGCGTCCTTCGCCTCCTTTGCCTTCACCTGCTCGTCCGCCTAATGGTGAAAGCAAGACGGTGTGCGTTACTGGGTGGTCGTCGGCTGTGTTACGTGAACGGGACGCAGCTTTTGCGAGCGTCAGAAACCGTGGCACTACCCTACACATGATGATGCCGTTGTCGTCTGCACGTTAGACCCGTTGTTGCTGTTGGCTCGTGGGACACGGACGTCCTCTTCTAAAACAAAAGAGAGAAGCGCCTAATAGGTAGGAGTCGTCTGAAAAGGCTAGCTTTGTTGTTGTTGTCGTTACTGCTGCTGTTGGTTGTTTGATGCTGTTGGTCTTCACGATGAACGAAAAACGTTCCGATCTCTGCTCTTGTTTGCTTGTTGCTGCTGTTGGTCTTCGGCACAACGAAAATAAATGTTCCGACCTCTGCTCAGCACCTTCGAACATCTGTACCCGGTCCTATTGACGGACGCAGACGCCATTGTTCACATAACGGCGCACCCCGTCCATCCCCATGCTCCTTGTCCACCTGCTACCATATTGTGACCATCACGAACCCCTGCTCCGTGCCCACCTGCTACTATACTTCAATCATCACTCACCCCGCCCACCTACTACTATACAACCATCACGCATCCGTCGGCCGCAACTACAGCTCACTGTAGAGACTTCAACCCACCGCCTTCGACTGCTGCTGTGGTCATACACATCCCGCACGGGCAGCCGTTTTTGATTGCATGTAAAAAAAATAAATACAATATTTCCCAAAAAGACTTTTCCCAACCCACCTCCGTCTTTTTCGCCGCCTCCGCACGTTTGGCCTCTTCCGCCTGCTGGTGCTGCTGTTGCAGCAACAGCTGCTGTTGTTGTTGATGTTGCTGCTGCTGCTGCTGAGCCTTAGCGGCCTGCGCTTGCGCATGCGCCTGGGCCTGCGCCTAGCAAGGCGCGCGTGTGCACAAAAAAAAAAAAAAAGACGTTTTTGAGGGAAGATTGCTCGGTCTAAGAGAGTTTGAGCGTTGGGCGCATGTTGAAAAGAAAAATTATTCACCAACAAAGTGGTACTGAGCTGTGGGCAGTTTTACATGTTTTGAGCAATTGTTGACGGGTAAAACCATTCACCACTGAGTGTGGTATGGTGCGAGTGGTTGTGAGCAGTGTTACCTGTTTAGGGCTCATGCTGATCGGTAAAACTATGTCACTACAGGCTGTGGTATCCTATACGGGTGTGCAGTCTTCGTGACGCATGCGGTACAACTTAATACACAGCGGGGAGGATCCTGAACGCCCGTTCAGCAGTAACAGTCTCCGCTAATATTTTCTACGTACATAGGTGTGCGCAGTGGCCTGCAGAGACCGAATCTGATCCGCCCATATATTGTCTCAAATCAACAAGAGCAGCAGCAACAGCAACAACACAGCAACAACACAAGAAAAACAGCAGCAGCGGCAGCAGCATCAACAACAAAACACCAACACAAGAAAATCAGAGGCAGCGGCAGCAGCAGCACCAACAACAACAACAACAACAACAACACCACCAACACCACCTCCGACACCAACAAAAACAAGCAAGTTCCCAATTCCGGCAAGGGGCAAGGGGATAACATCCTACATCGTTTGCAACCCTGCTCTTCGAGGACGGGGACGGGGGGGTCACCTGGGCTTGCGCCTGCGCTTGCGCTTGCGCTTGCGCTTGCGCTTGCACCGCTGCCGCCTGGGCCTGAGCCTGAGCCTGGGCCTGGGCTTGAGCCTGGGCTTGAGCCTGCGCGTGGGCCTGTTGCTGCTGGTTCCGAACAATCGATGCAAGGTCGGCAGGGCGCGGTGACTACCGAGGGCGGGGGATGTTGTGTAGATACAGTTAGGGGCTGCACTCGAGAACCTCCGAATTTGGCCCGAGGCTCGTTTATAGCTTTCTCTATCGGGTACAGTGGCGGCTACGGTGAAAGAGAGGGTCGTGACAAGCCAGCATATCTCTCTTAAATCCGGTTTTCTCTTAAACCGTACCGTGAAATAAATACATGTATTTCTCATGGCCGTGACAAGCCAGTTTGACGCTCTTAAATCGGTACTTTCCCTTAAATAGTCTCGCTTAAACCGTAGCCGACACTGTACTCCAACAGCGACTATATAGGTTTTAGAACAGGCCAACACCTGTTCTTATGGCCAAGCTCTTAATTTTTCATTTTTTTTACCCTGGATTAGGCCAACTTCTTGGATTTTTTTCATTTTTTCTAGGCTGGATTTCTGACTATATAGGTTTTAGTGCAGGCCAACACCTGTTCTTACGGCCAAGCTCTTAATTTTTCCTTTTTTTGACTCTGGATTAGGCCAACTTCTTAGATTTTTTTCCATTTTTCCTAGGCTGGATTTCTGAATTCCCGGATTCTTCGGTGCCGGTGCTCACTCTGCACTTCTTTTTCTTTTCTACGGTACAGCAGGGGGGGGGGGGGGCTTCTAAAAGTGCGGGTATGTGCCAAGCGATTTCACCCGCACAATAGCGGGCACCCGTACTACATCGAGTTCTATCTGTGCCCAACAGACTTATTTCACCAGCACGATATCGGTGTGTACACAGAGGGAAGAGAGCGCTGAACTCTTCTCGCATTAAAAATCGAAGGCAAAGTACCGCAGGAGGGGAGGGTACAGAGGGGCTCTTCTATGTGACCACGGGTTGGAGTAAACGGCACTAGTGCTGTGAGAGCTGATTGGAAGTGAAGACAAAAATACATATATACCATGGTATCTATATATCGCGTCTGCCGCACTATAGAGGGACCCCCGAACTGTACAGACTTACCTGCGCTTGGGCTTGGGCCTGAGCCGCAGCTGCCTGCTGCTGAGCCTGGGCACGTGCCTGCGCCGCCGCCTGCCGTTGTCAGGAGTTGATTAGACTTACGCCAGTGTTTTCGCTAAAGTGCACGCTCAAACAAGAAGCACAGATGTCGGTCGACGTACAGGAGTGCAAAGGGGCCAGCCATGTTGGGAAGTGCGGGTGGGACTTGGCTGGCACCGATGGAACAATCAAGACGTTTTCATGCACTTGAGTTTTAAAAGTGTGCATGGAACGCTTGGCACCAACACGCACCATAGCGCACCTCTCACGGAACAAAGTCCAGCCCCGTGGCGGTGACAACCACAAGGAAGAGAACCCTCTCCATATTGCGCTATTTTCTGTTGTACTGGAATGGCTGGAGGCATCCCCCCGCCCCTACCTCAGCACGGAACCCCCAACTCGACTGAGGGTGGAGCTTCTCAACCATATACACGCACCTGAAGGGGGGTACACAAACAGCTCGGAGCTTCTCAAGCAAATACCGAACCCAGAATGTCTAGCAGCTCGGGTGAAATAACAGATTACACACGAAGAGAAAAAACGAAGAGAATTTTCCTGGGTTTTTTCACATTTTCAGTTGGACCAGGACGCCCCCCCTCCCCCCCAAAAACCACCGGTACTATCATGAACCCGCTCATCCCAATTCCAACAAAAGTGTGAAGGAACGATTGGCCATCAGCCATCGGTCCTGTGGGGACAAACATGCTCCGTCCTCTCGAGGACGCGTGGTCAACAGCAAAGGCAAGCGAAACATCCCTCCCTATTCCCACCTGAGCCTGTGCCGCAGCTTGCGCCTGCGCCTGCGCCTGAGCTTGAGCCTGCGCCGCCTGGGCTTGCGCGTGGGCCCGGGCCTGAGCCTGAGCGCGCGCCTGCTGCGCCTGTGCCTGCTGAACGGCGGTTACGGCCACCGTCGGAGCAGCGGCGGCGGCCACCGTCGGAGCAGCGGCGGCGGCCACCGTCGGAGCAGCTGTCACCGTCGGAGCAGCGGCGGCGGCCACCGTCGGAGCAGCTGTCACCGTCGGAGCAGCAGCGGCGGCCACCGTCGCAGCAGCTGCGGCGGCGGTGGCG